ATGACTGCAGCAGATTTCTCCAAAATCTCTGAAATTTCCTACCAGACTACACTGCATCACATCCCCGAAGACCGTACTCTTCATAGTGAACTCCAGATGTAACAAGAAAAAGAGAGATCGTTTCTTTTCCCTAATGTTCCTCGGTAAGGTTTTTTCGTCTCTAGTTGTTAGAACCTCGTGTGGAGGTCACGTGTGTCCTTCCATCCTTGACTCAGTGTGCGCGCATGCAATATTGGTCAGATTTTGTTTCTGAAGTTAGCGTTTAAGACTTGCAAAGAAAGTTTGTCGGGAAATTCCGATTTCAGCCATATTTATTATTAAAAAAGCCTACCATGCTACAAGCTGGAAGGTCGCGAGTTCAATTCTCTATGTCATTGGATTTTCTCAGTTGACCTAATCCCTCCAGCCCTGGGGTCAACTCAGCTTCTAACAGAAATGAGTACCAGGAATCTTTCTCCGGGGTAAATGACGGCCGGTCGACGCTTAAGACTGGCAGCCTCACCGCCATCTATGAACCGATTGTCTAGAGAATGTGGAAGCCTCGAAGTGTCAACCCTATGGACTTCCATGGCCTGTACACGGATAACTTTACCTTTATTTCCGTACGTTGGGTGATAAGTGATTTCGTTTGGGCTTGTGCCATAAACCGCTATTCAGATGTTGATTAAATTTGACATGAGAAGTGTATATGTTGCAGTAAAAGGCCGAATTTTGTTAGAACCTAGGATTCACGCGCTGAGCCTAGGTTTTACCAGACAGTGTTGACAAGAGTCCGACAAACAAGAAGACGGGGAGAGTAAGAAAATGCTTGTTTACTATTGAAAAGGGTATGAATTTAGTAACTCGATCTTATAATCAATTATTTCAATTATTCTAAGGCGCGAACACTTTCGACGCGTAAATCCTAGGTCATACCAAATTCGGGCTTGTGCGGTAACGTAGGCGTAATCTTAGCCTACTCTTTCGATTTTTAGCCGTATTGATAGATTGCATATGGACGTAAATTAGCTTTTCCATGTATATGTTACAAAGTGGTAGTTCCTTTCAGAATATGGTCGATGTTGTAAATGAAATATTCGTGGCATGTTTGAGGAACCCTTAGATTCATTACAGTGTTGATAAGAACCCGTTGCTGGCTTCAATTAGAACTCAGATTACTCTGCTTCACATCTGCAACCCTGTTTCATTATGATCCGTTTGAAAATCCATGGTCTTATAAGTGACTTGTTCAGGTTTTCCAACCAAGACTTAATATTGAATTTCTCTTCTATACGGCATGTGTGCTACTTGCTTCGTCCATCTCATTCTCCTTGACTTGATCGTCATATGAGTCGGTATGGCTATGGGCTGGATGGCCGAGGAATCTTGGTTCAATTTCCTGCAAGCGGAGGAGATTTTCCTCTTCACAGCTTTCAAACAAATTTCATGGCTCAGACTCCTATCCGATGGGAACGGGGGGGGGGGATTTTTCCGCGGGGTTAAATCGGCTGAGGCGTTTTCATGGCGTAATGTTGCAACTTTTATCTTTTTAATATACGCTCAGGAACATTGTTCGCGTCAGTCCCCTTGAGCTCTCGCTGAAGGGATTGCGTGAAGAGGAGCGGAGGCTGATGGATTGTGTAGGCGTGCGCCGGTATGTCCTGCGGCCCCAAAAGGGGGGCATGCATTGGTAATGTGTAGTAGAGTCCGTACAGAGAATGGAGCGAGAACACGGATCACAGGTCAGTGTTTTCTGTTAGGTGGATTCCTGTCCTTCCGTACGGAGTTCCTTTTGCGGAACGGCTAAGAATTATAAGACTTTGGAAAGCTGATATGGAAGTTACTGCCACCTACTAGAAATTATTTAATCTGTCGTGGCGGACAGACGATTATGGCCATGCTACAATCAACAAACGGTAAAAGGTAAAGCTATCCCTGTAACAGACCGTGGAGACATTGGTTTGTGACGTCTTGGCTCCCACATTTTCTACGCAATCGACTCACAGATGGCGGTGAGGTTGTCATTCCTGGTACTCATTTCTGTTAGAGGCTGAGTCGATCCCACGGATATAGAGCGGCTCAGGTCAATTGAAAAATGCAGTGACGTCATCGAGAATCGAACCCGCGACGTTCCGGCTTGTAGCATAGTGCCTCAACCAACTACGCTACCGCGTGCCCCCCCCCCACGAAAGATGTTTTATATACACAAAAAGGTCTTGTTATTAAAGAACAAACAGCATAAAATTGATCAGCTCACCCAGTGAGTTTCTGTGACAAGAACGCTCGAACTTCGGTTTCCATGACAGCCGAATAGTTAGCTGACTGCTTTGTGTACAGTTTGCTGACCCCTGTGCACTATGGCTACCGATGCGCGCCTGTGCAATGACCTCTCAGCAACACGCAAATCCGTTTCGGTCCATACGGCATGTGAATTCTGATGAGATTCAGCGCATTGGTAAATATGACACATGAAAAATATACAGGCTTATGCAACTCTATTATGGCTATTTCTTGGAACACTGCTGGCATTTCACATGCCAAGGACTGTCTCAGCAACAGGGTGGACAACAAGTGCGACGCTACTTCATCAGCGTGGTCGAAGAGGGACGTTACATAACAAACTCTGTAGTGCATTAAAGCCGTGAAGCACGAATTTCGTCTTAGCACTACAACCCCAGTGGGCCTAGGCCTACCTCCGTGAACTTCTCCGTTCACTTCGGTTTTTCTAGATCTAACACATACGGTAGGACTCCTTGGGCGAGTGATCAGCTCGTCGCAAGGCCTCTACCTGTAGACAAACACAGAAAAACGCACACAAACATCCATGCCCTGAGTGGGATTCGAACCCACGATCGCGGCTTCCGAGCGAGCGAAGACAGTGCATGCCTTAGACCGCTCGGCTACCGTGACCGGCAAACAATATCTAGCTGTGCTTAATTACTTCATCACTACGCCATGAAGATATGGGGCAGTGGAGGTATAGCTCCATTATTGTTGAACTCGGCATTAGATGGAGGTCAGTGGTCAGCTTCACACTCCTGACGCTTAACCATAACCACGGGGAAAGAGCACCCGGTACCCATTTGATAGGACTGGGTGGGCCCCTGAGCCGGTCTGGACGACATGGAGAAAATTCTTGACGTTATCAGGATTCGAACTCCGGTCCCTTAACCATTCAGCTCGTGGCCAGTCGCTATACCGACTGAGCTATCCTGGCACCTCGGATATACTTTGTCGAAAATAATACAGGATTTGGAAAGATGTGTTCCATAACGTGGCCGACAGAATTCCCGAAGGTTTTCTCTGCAGTTTATGCTTTCTAAAATATCTTTTGAGAGTGTGTCATATCATGAGTAGCAGCCCAATGTAAGGGGCTGTGTGAGTTCAAGGAGATTTCCGGCATGGCGGTTTTGGGTTGCATCTTATTGTAGCGTGTAGAGCCGTTACTGTTCGATGACCGCGAGATAGGCGAATATACCAGACCCGTTTCTAGGCAGCAGCTCGGTAAACATGTTCCCACAGCAACGAATCTACGCAACAATAGAAGTATTGTTTGAAACGAGGTTTTATACTCGGCCCGTACCGAGGAGTTACAGGCAAGACAACTGGGCCGACCAAACCAATTCTGTACGGGAGTCTGTGAAGACGGGGCTCGAGCTCGTGAAGCTGAAAAGAATGTCCGCTGTTAGAAGCCGTTGCTAGGTGACGGCTGGTGAAGACAATAGAAGTTTTAACTGCAGATCGGACATTTCAAACTTCGCAACCTAAAAAGTCTACAAAGCAGTTAAGCGTTAATTGATGGGGTCACTTGTAGCTTCACTTAATATTCCTGTCCAGTGTAGTTATTATCGTAAGTTTGCATGGCGGTTCACTGTTGGTATTGACCCTACTCTTGAATGTTTGCGCCGTATGTATGTGGACTGTGCACCCGACTTTTCGAAGGTTCAAACTGCCTCTGTCCTCAGTGATCGAGTATTCACATTGTGGATGTTAACGGTCCAGCAGACTCGCAATGGCGAAGGGGGCGCATGCTACGCTGCGATACATCCCATGAAGTCACTAAACTTCAATTTGAGGTTCTCACAGCGGTCATTATGAAGAGTACTGTCTTTTGGTCTGTGACGCCGTGTAGTTCGGAGAGATCGGAGGAACATAGCTTGCTCCAAGTTCGAAAAGTAAACAAGCAAAAAAACAGGCTCCTCCCAGCGCAGGTTAACCTGTTCTCTCCAAACTACACGGCGTCACAACCCGGAAGATCGTAATCTTCAATGATCCTAATCACCGCCGCCATGAAAGGCTGAAATCTGATAATTTCTTTCTAGCTGTACATCCCTTTGAACGTTTCAGTTTCTTAATCATATACACAGTAGGTAGGACTCCTTGGACGGGGGATCAGCCTGTCGGAAAGCCCGCTACCTACACACAGAATAACACAAACAGAATAAACGCACGACATCCATGCCTCGAGTAGGATTCAAACCCACGATCCCAGCGTTGGAGCAGGCGTAGAAAATTCATTCCTTAAGACCACGCGGCCACTGTGATCGGCAAATCTCACATTTACGAAATTATTTTTATAATTAGTACGCTCACGTCTGCCGCTGGTCTACATTTGGTTTTGTTTCTGTGGGCCTTGTAACACGTCAACTGCAAGTCGGCCGCACTGCTGAATTAGACATTTGTTCCATCCTCGTTTACAGCCGTCACTGCACTTTGCCCCCAGCTATGAGGATATATGTGAGAGTTGCTGGCTGAGTGGTTAGCTTCACGCTCCGCCCGTTATGCCTCCCCGTATCCTCTGGGCAGAAAGTTGGGTGAGCACCAGAACCGGTCAGGACGCTATGGAGATTAGATAAACTCCTTGACCCTCCATTCCAGTCTGTATATTTACTGAGCTATTCCGGCTCTCCATTTTACCGCTTAACCTTCGTTTCCCGTCATTCAGAGGCAGTTGTGGATGGAGTGCAAGGGGGGATCCTCTCCGTCTGGTCGCTCACTTTACATAGGTTTTCTTGTTGCAGGAGAGAAGCCGTACAAGTGCCACTGGCCGGAGTGCGAGTGGCGGTTTGCTCGTTCGGACGAGCTGACCCGTCACTACCGGAAACACACAGGAGCCAAGCCTTTCAAGTGTGCCGTCTGCGAGCGATCCTTCGCGCGGTCTGACCACCTTGCGCTGCACATGAAGAGGCACCTCCCCAAGGCCCCCAAGTGACCACGGTAACCTAGCAACCGAAGCTTAGATCCTTCGTTCACGGTTTTTACATACGAAATGCTGACCATGTTTATTACCCAGTGGCGATTCGCTTCAGACTACAGGCAAATGCGCAAGAGGTGCCATTCCTGCAGGAAATCTTTCTTGTGAATGTTTAATTTACAGCTTTTTTTTTATACTTATTTAACATTCGTTCAGTGCCATTTAGGACTTCACCCCTGATATCTGGCATCTGATATTTTTAACACGACGATAATTTAAATGAAACATTTCTTTGGGTGCAATTGACGCGGCTGAAAATTCAACAGTCTAAGAGGACGGATTTGTGAATAGACTCAGTGCAATCCTACGACAGAAAAATTCTTTTATTACTCAATGATCGAAGTGCCAAGATTTCAAGTGCCTTGTGGAACAAAGAAGCCAAAGTGCCAATAAGATCGTGCCACGTAACAGGGATGTGTTCATATCGACATGTTATGTAGTTTAAAAAGAGAGCTAAACTAGTTTTTTTATTGGTTGTATATTACAATTTTTATATATTTTTAAGTCAAGAAATAAGTCACTTTGATACCAATTTATTGTAATAATAATCTATTATATAGATTTTAAGATTTATATTTAGATTTTAAGATTATATTTATAAGATGCCGCTCACACAGACTAACAGTAATACAGGGTTGTGGGAACTATTTTGTAAGGCGTGAAACGTCTTCAGTGTAATAATACTACCATTACTACTTAAAAAATGCGTATACCGAATTTCAGAACTAGGAATATTCATGCAGGTTATACGAGGTCTGACAGATAATTATTTAGACTGCATCCATGTAAATTGAGATGCACTATACACAGAATTATAGGTTGATCTTCAGCACATGTAAATTTGGTCCCTCGTGTTCTCCACTTCTGGAAGCGCTTTGGTGCTCAGCTTGTTATCAGCGACACTTGAGTTATGTTCACTTGCCACCACATTATGAATTGTTACATATTCGACGGTTTCCTCTTTAGGAGCAGGAAAATATAGTCGCGGAGAGACGAAGTCCGGTGAACAGGGAGGCAGTTTCACATGCGGAACGCAACGTTTGGCTGCACTAGCTAAGCTCAATAGGCATGCGCGTTGTCGCTGAACGGATTCCCGCTTCTGGCGGCTCATCACGACACACTGTACGTTTAGACGTCTCGGAATTTGTATTTTAAATTTGATTTAACGAAGCTACCCATAGTATATAGAACCAAATGATTGTATTGTAGTGAATCCTTACCTGAAAGGGATATGGAAGGAAGTGTTGTTTGCGTAATTTCAAGTTATATCCCGGCGTTTACCTTGTGGGACTGAAAACTACGAAACATCTCAGGATAGTTGGTGCCCGATGGGTTTTCGAACCAGGAACCTTTACACTACATGCCAGAAGCGTTACTAATTCTAAATTTGTTAGTAGAAATGCTGGTTAATAATGTGGCATTATGGAACATGCTCATGAGACACAACACTGACCGCCATTTCGGTTTTCTTGAACCAGTGCAGGAAGGCGATTTCTGTTGTAGTGACTGCTGCGTAGTTTCTAAGCCAAACATATCTCATCTCTTTGCAATATTCCTATATCGGTTTTCATCAGGATTTGAGGTTCTGACAGCGGTTGTTATGAAGAATATTGTCTTCTAGGATGTAGTCCATTGAAAGTCAACCGACGAATATATCGTCTCCATCTTCAGGTTCGAGGAATAAGCCTAGCTCTGATTGCCACCGTATTTCACGCTGGCTTCTTGTTTGGTTTATTCGAATCTGAAGATGGAAGCGGTATGTTCTCCGAAACGTCAGTTTACTTTCAAATAACTACACGGTGTTATATCCCAGAAGATAAGTACTGTTCGATTTTCATGAGTTTATGAACATTCTTGCACGTCATATGTCTCTGACAAGTGTTTTCATCTTCTCTTTAGTGTCAGAGGTCATTGAACGAATCTGGGATAGGTGTCATTTCCAAATGTTCTGTTCAAATGGCAACACAATGGACCTGTAAGAAACTTCAGCTGTTCCACGAATATTCACATCAAAGTTCGTGGAAAAAATGTTTCATAATTCAGTTCCTGTTTCACAGAAAAGCAACTACATAAAGATCAACGGGTTAATGCCGTTTAGGGGAAAAGATCACCGTGTGGACAAAATGAAAGAGTGTTTTTTAAATGTTAAAGCAGGAGGTAGATATAGTAACCACTGGACTTCAAAATGTTAAGCGCTGGCCACTATCTTTCCGCAGAATGTCATGTACAGGTGTTATTGTTGTTGTTGGGTCGCCAACGTGACGTAACGCCCTTTTTTTTTTAAACACTGAGAAGCAATGTAATCATCTGTCGAAACACTCGTCTGCATGTAGTGTCATATCAGAACGCGTTCATAACAGCCGTATCGCAGAGCAGAAAGACTTAACATGCGATGCAAATGTAGTCTGGATACTTCTCTGATCAGGCCTTGTACAGAAAATGTGACAAGTTTTGTGTTTTTGTTCCCTTTAATGGCAGTTATATTTTCCATGGGCCGAGCTGTTTATTAAATTGAGTATTCTTACACCCGTCGACACACCAGTTTCTTATAAAGATATACAAATATAGATTATTTACTTTATATCTTAAAAACAACATATTTCGACCATTATTGGGCCATCATCAGCTATAATGTTTGTTCTTATGCGCCTAACTTTTTTTTAATATGGACCCATATTTTGACTATGACTATATAACAAAATTCTTGGTATTATCTGCTTTTTAGTCCAATTATGTTGGTATATAATTAGTTAGTCTTAAAAAATAAGTTCATCGTTTTATCACAAACAATACACCTGATGTTGACCCAATAAGGGTAGAAACATCTGGTGTTTTTAAGATTTTAATGTAAATAATCTATATTTGTATATTTTTAAAAGAAATTATTGTTTCAACGGATGTACAAAATATTCCATGTACGTGACACAACAGGATGCAGCACATAAAGATCATGCTGTTTTTGTTTGATAACGGATTTGAATATTCAGAGTTTGGGAGCCCGTTGATTCAACCGTTTTGTTTTATAAGACGCTAATGCAATATGTAGCGGCTATGTTACAGTTTCTTGGTTACAATACACACGCTTTTGATAGGCGCTGTGTGCTGGACTCAATGGAAACACCTCTGGTAGATCCTATAAAACGTCCTTGGAAGACCAATATCCTGGGATAAATGAGGAGACATTTTTCTTAAAATCGTTTCTGAACCAAACCCGTGTAAGCCAATGAACTGAACTGCTTCTCCTCAACATTTACTGGCTGCTTTCGCGTTATTGTCACTGACAGTCCCCATGAATCAGAAGTGTCGTTTTTCTTCGAAAGCTCAACACAGGGAAACTTTGTTGAAACGCTACTTTTTTCGCACGAAAAATAGTAAACTTCATTACTAAAATCTAAAATTTAGTAAAATTAACTTCAGTATGAATATATAATTCAATTTTATACGTACTTAAAAGTTAGTGTCATATGTGACAAAAATCTTTTTGAATGTTTTCCCGTCCTCAGATGAAGAAAAGTGGCAGCACTGTACACATTTTTCGCCAGATGTCGTTATTAGGATGATCAAATGAAGGAGGACCGAGATGCTCGCTGCATTTAGCATACTCCGGGTATAGGACGGATGCGTATAAAGTTTGACCGGAAGAGGCTACACTCAAGACCAATGCTTATGTGCGGGATTGTCCATGCTCGAAGAGACAACCACGTAGTGAACTTTTATAATATGTATTTATTGTTGCTAGAATGCATACACGGACAAACTTCGCTCTCCTTTGCCTCGATCTGGGTTTCTGTCGGGTGGGACCCTCAAAGAAAACGTCTTTCAATCATGTATCCAAGGAAACGTTTATCACTTAGCGATGGTTTGTTTCCAGGAATCGCATATCCGCGGAAACATGTTTGCCGAACCGTTGCTTAGCAGCAGATGGTTCCTAGACTGTAATTGAGACTGGCATGTCGGAGGTACGTTGTCGCTAGGCAGCGCGCGAACCGATGGACCTTGGAAATGTCGTGGTCCGCGGTGATTGATGGATTCATACGAAAATAGGTCGTAATGGAGTGGAGTTGGAAGGTGTAGGCTGGATTCATATGGCTTACAGTATGGACCAGCAAGCTGCGAACTAATATTGAAAGTCTGTCTCTGTTCTTAATTAGTTACCATGCAGATGTATCATTCTCAGTATTGGCATTACATGGAGGTGGGTGATTAGCTTCACTTCCCGGTCTCTTTAACCCCTTGAAAAGAACATCTGTTCCCTTCGGATGGGAGATTGGGCTTTCCTCAAAGATGTAGAGAATATAAACATATAGAGCCCCGAGTTATAAAGGGCGTTGCATTGTGGAATTTATTTGTTTGTTAGTTGGCTGCAAATTGCTTGGTTCCGGAAGAGATGTTGACTTCCATCAGAATGGTTCGCGTATGACAGGGGAACGAGAAAGAAGTGACATTACTGTTATGAGTTAGGGGCGCGTAACGTGCTAGAATTGTCCCATAATCGTAAGATGCGGCTTGCACCCAGGGTTCAACGAACCTAGCCGTGTACTTGTCTCTGAAGAGTGGAAAATTATGGTCGAATGTGGGGGGGGGGGAAATGGTTGAAATTATTCGTTCTTTTTCTCTCGCGACCTCGTTGTTTTCCTTCTACACAGATGTCAGTTTAGTGTTGTTTACTTAAGGATGCCGATCACAGTGGCCGCGTGGTCTAAGGCATTAACAGTCTTCGCCCGCTCGAACACTGAGATCGTGTGTTCGAATCCCACTCGGTGTATGGGATGTCTGTGTGTAAGTAGCGGCCTTGCGACTGGCTGTTACCCCGAAAAAGGAGCCCTACCGACTGTGTATTGGATTAAGAAACTGAAGAAGCGGCCAGTGCCGAACAAAAGGACTGTAGAGCCACAGGCAGATAATGGATATTACTAAACAGTGTCGAATGGCCGTGAATATTAATGTATGCTGAAGTAGAGGGGATGTGGAGGGAAACGATCGTTGCATCGCTTGAGGTACTATCCCAGAATTTGCGTGAAGGGACTGAATATAACGACAAGAAACCACCATCTAGACTATCGGGCACCCCCTCCTCCCACAAATATAGAAATGTTACCCCTTGAAGTACGTTGTAAAATCTACGCCAACGTTGGCTGTAAAGCGGGGAAGAATTGGACAGTGTTGCTGTGTACACCCTGTATTGTCGGGCAGTTTGTGACTCAAGTCACGATGAAGAGTTAATGACTGTACAGCGGATACAACATCTATTACAAGATGTCACCGTCTATCATGCAGCTCCGTGTCCCATCACTGAACTTCTGTAAACTTTGAACTGTCCTTGGCATTTAGATGCTTCATTATGCCTGGCATGTTCAGCCCAGCACAGCGGTAGCCACGTCTGGTCCCTGCCGAGGCGTTTCTCTCCCTCAAGGAGAATAACGGGATTACAGCTTCAAATTGGCCACGACACCCTCTCTTCAAAATAAAATCATGACTGTCTCATGCGATAAAACGTGCAGTCGAATCACTGCAGACACAACTCGTCTTGTGAGTAAATTTCTGTCATTTTGAGGGTGTTCTAACTTCGCCATTTCTGTGTCTGCCCGTACACCTGTCCCCGTGTAACAACTATAGGGCCACTAGATAGATTTTCTTTAAATTTGGCACTGCGGTATTTAATTGAAATATGACACATTACAGTTCTAATTAAAACCGAGCAGGGACACTTCACACGAATACCTGCATGGGGTTCTGCGCATATATCCAGCGTTAACTCGCTAGATATTTCATCATCATTAGTACAACAGCCCTTTTTAGGACTATAGCCCCCCTTAAAAGATTCTGCCAGACTCGCTTATCCCGTCGTGAATTAGACCATCCGGTTTTCATTTCTCTGGTTTTCGCAACTTTTTTTTTTTTTGCAGATCAAAATCGTCGTCAGCCTTGCGTCCAGCCCCCAACCTGGAGCACCAGGTCTATATATTTATGTCCCCCAGTGACAGAGTGACCCAGTTATACCCCCAGGCCTCCTACAACTCGCAGGGCTACGGTGGAGGTATTCTAACCCGCTTCCACGCGGGACTAGCGAAAAATGTTTCATGCAGCAGCTGTAGGGATCAAGGAAACAAACATTTTATGGTAAAATGTATTTGCCCCGTCCCTCTTGCTGTTTTCGAGGCAATTAACTACAAGACAGTAGATCTGTTAACACTGTGCTTATATTTCCTAACGTCTGCTAGGAGTAGACAGTGACATTTTGTATCTTGTGATATACGGTTGCCGGGTGCGGAAGCGTTCAAAGAGCATCATCAGTTATTTGGGGGGAAACGATTTGCTCCCTTCTCGTTTCTTTTATGACGCTTGTCGGTATGTATAATAATATGTGGTCGTATGACAGTGAATAATGAATTGGAAAGTATTCGGAAGGAAGTCGTGAACTGATGTAGATACTGAAGAATGCCGTCTTCTGGGATGTAGCGCCGTGTAAATCTTGTATGAGCCGACGTTTCGGAGGAAAGTATCGTCTTCAGGTTCAGGGTAGAAAAATCCGCGAGCGAGGAATCAGGGTGAGCAGCTGGCTGCAGACTGAGCTACCAGTCGAAAACATCCAGCTGGTAGCTCAGTCTGCAGACACCTGCTCACACTGGTTCCTCGCTCTCGGATTTT